CCGCGGCTTCCCGGGGGCGCTGTTTGCTGGCCATCCAGGCTGTCCCCGCTGCGGGCTTCCGGCTCCGTCCGAAGCTTGGGCCGGGAAGCTAGATCATGAGTTTCATGCCCTGTCCAAGTCTTGGCGTAGATTACGAGTTCCCGCCAGGGAACATTGTCTTCTCTAAACCCGGGCTCCGCTCCCTCATTCACATTCCGGGAACAGAGCCACCTGCTTCTCTTCCACCTGGAAGCCTTGCCAGGCCAGACTGCGCGGCCACCGGTTCCGGAGCAGATGTCACACGCCCACATGCTCACTAGCACACAACACCCTGGCCGCAGGTGGACTCTCATCACCCTGCGCGGTTTGTGCCCTCGCTCTCTGGCTCTGACTGTCCCCAGTCCATATGTGCCCGTCCGTCTCTCGGGCTTACAGTTCTGTCCATGTGCAAATGCGCTTCTGTTACTTGGGGTTGTCTTCAGAAGCGGAATGCTGGAAAGGCGGCGTCTGACTGCTTTCTGGGGTTGCTCCTCTGCGTGAGGCTCCACTCCTCTCATTGTGGGCCTGTCCCGCTGAAAAGCCCTGAGTTTGCATTTGTTTTGTAGCCTGGTGGTGCGGACCCTGATGCAAAACAACTGTCAGCTTCAAGTGCCCTTGCGGTGGGGGTAGGGATAGAGAGAGCTATATTACCTGGAATCTGTTGTTCAGCTCTGAGGATAACCGGGAGGCCTGGGCTTTGCACCATGATACCGCATAAAATCCAAAGAATTCTCAGTGGCTTCATTTCCAATACTTTAACACACTGTAAAATGAATCCACTCTTTTTCTTCTCTAAATCTAAACAATCTTTTGTCATTAAAGTGAGGACGTAGAAAATGTGTTTACGCTGGCTGGGCTCTTGGCCATTTGGATTTTCACTAAAAACATGTTGTGTCCATTTTCAGAATGCATATCCCAAGGGCGTTCCAAAAAATGAAAGAGTTCAAGGTTGACCCTCTTGGTAAGGAATGGGGGTGAGGGGCATAATACAGGCATTTCTCTCCAAGAGCTTACAGTCTTAGTTGGAGGGAGTAAGACATACAGTGTTAAAAAGTTCAGTATTTCAAGAGTTAGAAACAGTACAAGACAAATACAAGAGTCATATAATATTGGGCAAGTTTCAAATGGCAGTGGCTATAAATGTTCAACTTGGTAAATGTGCATCTTACCCAAAGAACTTACCGTTGTAATTTGGCCCTATGGCAAACCTTTGAAAACTCAGAGGTTGAATTTTAGTAATTGTTCTCTTTTATCCTAAAATTGCTTTGATCTTAAAGGCCTCCTTGGTCCTTTTCCAAACCCCTAAACTTTTTCCCCAACCCCCAACCCAAGTTTTTAGTATATGAAAGCTGAGTAAGTTAAGGTTGTTGGTCAAGAAGTAATGCCATCATGCCCTTTGTGGTAGAATATTTGGTCAAAACTTCCCCCACTTTCTTTTTATACCCTGTTTATTTCTACAAATTAAGGTAGTAATTGTCCACTCTGTTTTGTAAATTCAGTTACTGGAGGAACACAAATTTTTTTTAATGTTTCACCTAAACAAGCTGAGCAGATTCCAGAGCCCAAATACTAGGGACTGAGCATGCTGCCTGTCAGCAAAGTGCTCATTTAACCCCTCCCAGGGGTTGAGGGAGCAGGGCAGGGGTCCGATGACTCAGGCAAAGGGGGGAGTTCGGGGGCCCAGGTGCTGCCCAGGGCCCAGAGGTCAGTTGGGACCTGCCCTTCCACACCAGATGCTCATGCTTTGATCGCTGGCCAGGCCTAGGTACTGCACCCATGCATGAATTTTGTGCGCCGGGCCTCTAGTAATATAAGAATAAACTCTGTTTCACATACAACTGTATATCTACTTTTGCCCTACCCTGTATGTGACTGAAATGGAAAGTAGGATCCCTAATATTCACGTCTATAGCTAGTTGCTCCCCTTCCTTTGACACTCTTATTAGTCCCTTCCTCTGATTCTCTACTTCTCAGCAAACTATTTATGTGTAAAACGTTTACTGAACATTATGTACCAAAGAGCTTGAGCTTTGGCTTCCCTTCCAGACAGTTTTCATCACCATCCTCTCCAAGAGTATCTGAGGCTCTTCTCTCTTCCTCTTTGCCTCCTTTAGGCATAACATACCCAGGCAGAGCCCTGTGGGAAAAGAAGAAATTTCACTCTACCCTTCTAGGTTCTTTCAGCTTGTCTAATAATTAAATCTACATGAGACAGATCAACAACAGAAAATGAACAACTTGAGTTATATACATACATACTAGTATGTATGGGAAGTTACATACATCCATATGTATGGGAGCCCCACATATATGAGAAGTTAAGAGACAGGGAAAATGAGGTATATATGGCATCTTGCCCTAAGGTGCCTAGGGCTTCAAAGGGGAGGAAGACCATTTGAAGGAGATAAGAGATGTTTAGTAACTAGAAGTTTGCCTTGCCCTATAGGTAGG